AATGATGCATGAAGCTGCATTCATGTTTGATCTTCGAATCATCAAGGTGGATATTTAACACAGCATGAACTTGCAGAGGGTTATGATTAAAGCCTGAGTAACTTCCAATTAAAATCACTTTATAACATGCTACTGTGACATACTACTAAGCTTTCCTGTGAAGGTAAGCTTAACATTCTAGGAGCCACTTCTTAATGGAAATGCACACTTAAATGCAGCTTCTCCTTTCCTGAATGTAAAGAAGCAGTTTATTTATCTGATGAATAAATATTTTTGCAGTCATTTCTTCTATGACATCTTTTTGGCTCCAATGACCCACGGGCCAAGCCCCACTGCAGTGCAGGGGAACAGCCACATCCCCATCTCATCCCACCAGCAGTCAGAAGGGCAGGGAACATCATATCCCTTGAGCACTTGCACATACCCTGATCATGAGCCCAAGATGATTTTTTAAGAAGGGCTGGAATTAAGCACGGCACTGATAATTACCTCAGTATAACGCAGGGCATCTTCAGAAATGGCATCATAATCTTGGGCGCAGCTCTTTGCAGCGTTTTGGGCAAATTTCATAAATTCTGCAATTTCATTGTTTACTACTTCTTTCATTTGCTAGGGGAAGAAAAAATCTATTTTTAAGACAAAACAGAAGCCTCTATACTAAATATGTAACCAACAAAATTTCCAGAGAGACAGTATGGGTAATGATATGAGGGAAGGAATAGATTCCACTTGCTAATCAATTTGACAAGTGTTCAGTTTCACTTAAGTAAAAAAAATTTTTTGCAAGGCCCATATCCTTTAAAAAAATCCCAAACCAACAACACACCATCCTCAACAAACGGCGAGTTTCCTTTGATACAGTGATTTATAAATAGAGAGGTTACAAGACATAGTTGATGAAGTTTACATGGCAAAGTCATAAATATATCTGAGCTCTGATTTAATGAGAAATTATAAGTAACAACAATACAGTAGTTACTGATGTGTCTGGAAACAATATTTCAATTGTTACAGCATAAAATAAAGACAGTAGAATTAATAAGGAAGCACAGGAACCCAAATGCAATGGCTCAAAACATTTTGCTAAATAATTACATTGCAGGACTCAACTAAAATGATCCTCCCACCCAACATGAAGGTGGCCATTTAAACACACTGCTGAGGCTCAGCAGCAGGGTGAGCTCAGCCCTTCCCCTGTGTGAGCACAGCAGGGCAGCACACAGGACCCTCCCCTGCTCATGAACAAGGCTCCCACAGCTGGCAAACATCTCATCAAAGTGCATCCACAGCCTAACACCACCTGAGACTGCTACATGCCACTATGAAATGCTAAAATCACAGTAAGGACAACTTTTAACATCCTCCTCAGAAAGAAAGGGGTTTTTTGGGGACTGGGGGGCTGTTTGGTCAGTTTTGAAAGACCTACACTTATCCTCAGCTGTTCAGATCACTTAAGCCACAACAAAACAAAAAAGCCCCAAAAGCCCAATTTCAATGAAATTACCAAATACACTTTCATTTTCTATTAAAGCTTATCCTGAATACTTCAAACCTTTATTACCTTTCATAAGACCATGAATTCTATGACAAATTCATTATGACATTGAACTCAAAAGAAATTTTTCCCTTTTCCTTTATTCTTTGTAAGAAAAAACAATGTATAACTCCCTCTGTGATGGTCATACGTTCATATCTTACCATGTATGTGAAAAATTCCCTTTGGCTCGCCTCATTAACTTGGAAATGGTTTCTTATTTTTGAGAACTTAGTCATCAGATACAAGTATGTCTTCTGCTCCTTCTCAGTCAAACAAGAGGTGAATGGATAGGGGAGTCTGGGTTCTGGGAGAGGATGCTCATCAGCTGGGCTTTTAGCCTCCCCCTCAAGTGACTCTGCAGCCTGCATGCTACAAGCCTGTCTGTTTTCTGAAGAGTTTGCCAATGCCTCCACATTTTTCTTTGCCTCTCTGAAAAAAAAAAGTAACAAATGAACAAATCTGCAGCTTTCACATTAATACTAATATTAGTCAGAAATAATAAGGGCAGCTGGGCAAGCTCTGAGAAACAGTGTTATTCCAATTCGTGCCAGTGGACTGTTCTTATTCTAAAACTTCACCAGTACAATCAGACTAACCCTTAGTGCCAGCAGCAGGTCTGCAACTGGTTTAAAAGCAAACAAGCAAAAAAGGTAGGGTTTTATTTTTATTTTTTTTAATGGTGTTAACAAGCTAAATATGAAACACATTCTTTGTTCTAGAAACACACATTATTAATGAAAGGATAAAGAATCACCACATTTCATCAGTCACTGCTGACCACTGTTCAGAAACTGCACTCAGAAAGGTCAGACTTGTCAGTCAGTTCTGATAGTAAAGGAGAAAGATTTGACTAGAAAAAGCCTTTCCTTCACTGCAGAAGAAGAAAATTAAAATTACTTCATTGTAACAGAAATTCCAGATTTCAATGAAGAAATTCTTACAGCATACACAAATCAAGTATTTAATTTTCTACTCTAAACAATGCTGGAATCAGTCACCAAAAATAATAGTAGACTAGGGCAAGGGGCATGGCTGTTCTAACAACAATAAAGAAGTAACATAAAGCTCATTCTTAGAACAGCTCCAGTAAACAAATGCCAAGCAGCCTAGCCCTAGTCTATTTAAAATAATTTTACTTAAGAGAGAAAATACTTAAGGCTAACAAAATGAACATTAACTGCTGATCTTGGAAAAAGCATATTTTTAAGATACTATTTCAGCAGTAGAAAACAGCTCAAGTGTCATTCAAACCCAGCAGTATCACATCCACAGTTCTTAATAACACTTCACAGCTGTCTCTGTAAATATGAGAATGTGTCCATCCTTGTGGCACAACCTGGCAAATTTAATTAAGCAGTAGCAGCAGCAAGATGCTGACTCAGATATGCCAGTGTAAGAACATCAAGAAATTCTAGCAGCTTAAATTGGCTATATTCAGCACTGAATGAAATGGCAGCACATCAAGATCATTTCACTATGCACTGCTGTCACAGTCTTCATTGGGGTGCAAACCAAAATAATCTGACAGAGCTTTTCTGTCCATATTTACAGCATTATACTTTATCTGAGCTGACAGCTTAAATTTTTCCCCTTCATTTCACTGCTCCTGCACCAAGAGAACATGCACTTTTGTAAATATCTATGAGAAACTCCCCAAAATTAGCAAGTTTCCTCCACCTTTTACTTCCACACTTGCTTCAACAGTTGTAATTTCTCTTCCTCTTGACTCTGGTCACACAAGCCAGCTCCATCCATTTCTGATTTTTACCAGGTGCAACCTCTCTGGGTTCTTCTGGCTGCGAACCTACTCAAACCACAAACAGCTGGCCACAGTCCCCACTCCTGAGTGTCCACTCCAGAAACTCTTCTAAGGAAGAATCCCACAGCAGTATCAGATGTGCCAGTAACAAGCTCTGAGGCTGTGCTCTTACCAATTCACAGAAAGTTGCTCCAAAAGATATGAACTAGAACAGTGTTCTCTAGCTAAAGATGGGAGACGAAGCCATGTGATGTAACAGCCCCTCAAATGCACACTCTCATTGTCAGTTCATAAGAACAGTTATTCCCCTTCTGAACAATTTCCCCACATGCTGAACTCCCCACTTACACGGTTTTCCATCCACACTCCTCCCAGAGTGAAGGTTCATGCACCAGGTGTCACGTTCACCTCCCCTATCAGCTTAATAACTTCTTAAACCAGAAGTCTAAATACAATCCTCCAAATGCTGAGAACCCAGCAGTACAGGCCATACTTCTCACTATGTGAAATGTTATTCTACTTCCTCAACCTAAGAAAATACGTAAATGACACCAAAAGTGCAGAAACAACACTACCTGTACCACCTGTATTCACACAATTTCATTTCCAAGAGCAAAGCACTCAACCTGGACTCCTGCTCTGAGGTTTCACAACAAAGCACAGGCCAACAGCTGTAACAAATCCTTGTGTGCCAAAAACATGCTGCTTTCCCCAAAACACCATGGAGATGTACCCATAGCACGGTAACAAATAGCAGGAAATGGTAAAATAATATACCTGTTTGATAAACGCCAGAGTTCAGAGAGGCTCAGAGACAAGGAATATTTTTCATAAAGTTCATGGGAGAAAAATACTTCTTGGCCATTTTTTGGTGGACTATCCCTAATAAAATAAAATTTAAAAATAAATCTATTGCAAAACAAATATTAAAGGTCACACCTGCTGCTGAGAAACAAAAACAGGAATTATTTTATATGAAAAAAAAAAGGCCACCTACACATTTGTTCCTCTTTTTGAAAGTTCTGTTTGTAACTAATGCTTTATGCTATTTGTTAGTAAAATATATATTCTGAACAGAACAAAAGAATTTCATTAATACAAGACATCAATTTTAGGTATGGTGAGAGAAATTCTGATGAAGTTTCACACTTTCACAGGTTCATGAATCAAAAACAAACTTTGGGTTGAAATCGCTGGAATTTTTGAGAAAAATACACCAGTTTTAGCTTTTCAGAAAAGATTTGGTTGTTTTTTACGCTAATTTGATCTTCTATATTGCCTTTTATTTTTTTCTAATACAGCCGTTCAAGTGAACAGGGTTTATACAACCCCAGCCTCCCTAACTACTGCGGAAGGTACGAGCGGGGCCGCCCGCGCTCCGCCCTCTCCCGCGGCGGGAGCCACGGGAAATGGCGCACGCGCCCTCGGGGCGGGAACCGAGCCCGCCCCGCTCCCCGGGAGCTCCGCCCGTCCTGCTCCCGGCGGGGCTGCGCCGAGCTGCGTCCGTGGTCCCCGCCTCAGGCCGCCCAAAGAGAGGAGACGCGCTCACCATGTCAGCGGCGGCCCCGCGACCGCCATCTTGGCAAAGCCCTCAGGGCAGCAACTCCGCGGCTCCTCGTCTCAGCGCCGTGCGAGCCCGCCTCAGGGCACTGGCCAATCAGCGCCCGGCGCTTGGGTCAGGTGTTCTGAGCCAGCCAATAGAGGCACGGGCTGGAGTACCGCCTCAGAGTGCGGTTGCCATTTTGTGGCGGGCGGGGCGGATGATGGCGCGGAGCTGTGCAGTGCGTGTTCGCGGGCGTGGTCTGGCCGGGAGGTGGAGGTCTTGGGCGGCACATCCCTCCCCTCCCCGGGTGTATCAGAGGTGGGGCCCTAAGCAGAGGGTGGGTATACCGGGTGGCCCCTCCCGCTCTGGGTGTGCAGAGGTAGGGGGGCAGCCTGTTACTGAGGGGTTGGAGGCGCGGGAGGTGAGGTGCCCATAGGGGAGGCTACGTTCAGTTTCCCTGGCTCACTTCTCGTGAGCAGCGCCGCAAAATCTTTTTTAATGGATAGGCAGGCTTCCCGGTGTGGTAAAATTTGGAATTCGGGTATTCTCAGAACCCATAGGTTTGGGTGATGGAAACTCATTTACTTGTGGTGTTACATGACAAGGTGATGCCGGTCACTGCTCTAAGGATGGGGGAGTGATGAGAGCAGAGTGTGTCCCTGGTGTCATGTGATAAGAGTGGGGCACCATTACACAAATCTCTGGGAAAACCCAGAGATGATTCAGACTGATTTCTAAACCCACCAAACAAGGGAGTCTTCAGCTTGCTTACAGATCAGTTTTAAGGATAGTGATTTTAATTCTGCCCTCTTGATTTGTTTATCTTAGAGAAGCAGAAAGATGTTCTCTCCCAGGATAGACCTACCCAGAGCCCAGCTGCCCGTGGAAGGAGTGATCTTAGTTCCCAACCCAGGTATGCTAACAGTTCTGAATTATGAGAACGCTTGGTGAATGTAGCAGCTTAAATCCTACTTCAGGCTGAATCTCTCTAAAACCTGCAGTATCTGGTTGGTTGGTTGTTCTTGTTTGTTTTTTTGGTGGGTTTTTTTGGGTTTTTTGTTTGTTTGTTTGTTTGTTTTAAATAAAATACTGCTACTTCTTACTGGTGATCTTTGTACTTCCATGACGCAAACATGAACATCAGGAAACAGGTTTCCATTGTGAGGGTGACAAAACAGGTCACCATCCCTGGAAATATTCAAAAGCTAGACATGGTCCTGGGCAACCAGCTTGAGGACACCCTGCTTGTGACCTCTGAAGTTCCTGTCACCCTCAGCAGTTTTGTGGTTCTGTGAAATAATCAGAGGTCAAACCCACCACCTCCTCATCTACAGTTCAGCTTTCCTAATGGTTTCCTTATGGGCAGGCACAGGAGGGAGTCTTCAGTTTGTCTCACTTCAGAAAAGTTCCTGGGTTTTAAATAGAACTATACAGTTTTTTACAAAGCTGTTCCCTAACCTTTATGTTGATGGTTAGGAACTCTCCTGTGTCTGGGAAAACTGGGCAGGATCATGTCCTGAGGATAAGAAAATTAAATCTGGGTTTTCAGTGTTTTTACTGCTGTAGACATGGAGCTGCTGTAGAACACATGGCACTGCTTAGTGCTCCCATTCTAGGAGTTACCACTTACACTACTTTTTTTGTAGAGTTGATCTGTAGGTGAAGGCTGCTTCCAGATACAGTGCTTCAAAGATGAATGCTAGAATCTAATTCTATGGTCAGGCATATAAATACTGAGCTGTTAAAAGCTCTGTCAAGACTTGAGGCATTTCTGAGTAGGTGCAGAAGGAGAATTTCACATGCCTGAAATCTTAAGACCGAGCATGCTGCTGACACATTCAGGTATTCCCAAAGTTAGCACAGCAGAGGGGAGTGGGACCTTTGACTTTTGATGTCTAAATTGTATTAAAACTTCAATTTTAATAACCAAATCCTCATTTAGATCTCACCTAAAGCAGTGTTTCTGCTGGGAGTGCTCACTGGGAGGGTTTTGTGCCAAATTGCTTGTATTTTGCACTTGATGCGGTGAACTGTGGTTTCAAGCAAGGCACCTTCAAACAGAGGGAAGCTACATTAATCCACGTTCATTCTGAGGAGGTTTAAAGCTCTCGTTGGCCAAAAGGGGAGCTTAAGAGGTGTCTGGAGGTCATCTTGTTTCCCTGACAAAACACGGTGTACGTGCTCAACCAGCTCTAATATATGCGTAGTCTAATTTTGCATCAGTGCATCCCTTAAGGAATAAACCTAATAAACTATAATTCAGAAAAACAAGGAAGATGATACTGACAAAAAAATTAAGACATTTTTCCATTAGAAGCTGAAGTTTTATTACAGGATAAGAGTACATAAAGCACATCTAAAATCGATGTGTTCAATGCACTTAATAAAGGTAATGTAATATTAAAGGTACGGTTTCTAAGTACAATATAACAACATTCATATTAGAATGAAAATTGGAGTATTTAAAAGACAACATTAAATCTCTTATTTTTACAGTTATATTTACAAAATGAATCAAAATACTTTTTTCGGGACCGAGTAAAATAACAAACTTGGATATAAGCAGGCTATCGTGAGTTGGAAAGGTCTATGGAAGGGAGAAGTGAAGTGACTGGGTAAAGATCATTAGCAAAGGTTTAGTACAATACCACATCTTCTTGATGGCTTACATTTTATTGTGGCTAGAAAAGGAATTTATACATACTGTACACATAACAGACAGCACATATTTACATGTACAGTATAATTGCATTAAACTTGTGTGTATTTACAGAAATTTGAGCATATCACTCAACGAGGTTTTTAAGTCTGTGTGCTTCATCTTCAATCTGATGTATATTTGTAATCAGCATTTATTCTGGCGTTGGTATGTTGAACATTTAGTAAAGAGGGAGGATAAATGTTAACCAAATGGTTTTGCATAAATATATCAAACTCTTAAAACAACAGGGAGAATGTGTTCCTGGCATTACCTATAGGTTGGTATGTACAAATTTAAGAGTGAGTCCTTCTCTCTTTGAAAATATCAAAAGGTGACTTAAATCAAGAAGGGAAAACAAAATTGTCATGGCTTATATTTAAATAAGATTGTAGCTTCAAGAGGTTTTTATAATTGTCCTGATAGTGTTTGCAGTTAAACATTCCACTTATGAAAATATACCCATGGTGCAGTAAAGTTTGTTTTTGTTTTTAGGTCAACAGTATGTTTGCTGTTTAAAAAAAATTATTTATATATATATATTCCTTGGATTGAGGGTATAAAAGCAGTGCATGGAAGCCAAGAACCATGGCTTTAAAATTCACTACCTTCTATTATCAAAAAGTGCAGTAAACAGAAACATTGTTATTAATAAATTGCTCAAAAATCTTTGCTAAAGATCTTATAAATTCAGTAATATTACAGAAAAATTCTAATAAATATTTAAAAGGTTAATTACCTCCTTAGTTAGATATTTGATATCCATCAGTTTTTAAGAATGAACATGAAAATATCTTGAATGAAAGGAACAGGGGGATAGGAATATTTTGAAGGGTATAAGACTACGTAAATTAAGGTATACATGAAAAAATAAAAACAAAACCCCCATACCTGACAAAACGTTGCAAATTCCACTTCTTAATTAACTTTAGTTGCTACTGGCTGTCCTTGGATATGTATGCAGGTTGTATAAAGCATATCCAGGGACTGAATTTAGCCATTCATCGCGGCAGATTTACAGAACATTCCTATTTACAGTATCTGGAGTTAAGTGTGTAGGCATGGCCCAGTAACATCCGCAGTCTGAGCGTGTACAGATCCTATTTAAAGTGAGGAGGGAGGAAGGCACCCAGCAGAATAACATCTATAAATTTCCGATGCAACAACAGGATAGAATTCTCCCAACAAGCCAAATAGCTACCTCCCTTTCAGACAGACAGCATTTTGTAATTATTTTATACTGGCAGATTAGATGTTTTTCTTATTTTTAATACAATACAGGCAGACTGTTTTAGTAACCAAAAGATAACAAGCTGGACAGAACAATTTTAATAACATTAATAATTAATAATGTTAATAATGTAGAAAAAAATTCTACATTTGATATCAAGTATCTGTACCGGTGAAGTAATTTTCTCCTTATTAAATATACTATAGAATAATTTATATAATGACACTATGCATTTAAAGAGAAAACCATGTCCCAAATCTTGTACTCTGATACAGGTACTTGTTGGGCATATGTTGGTGTATATATATATATACACAAATATATATATTTATATATAGTTATACTCAGTGAAATTAACAAGACCCAAAGGTGGTATTGTCTAGGAATAAAAGGGGTTTGTTTGTTTTTGTTCACAAAAGTAACTTATCTAGCACCACACATCAGAAAAACACAAAAATAGCACACTCTAGTTCTAAACAGCTATGTCTAAAATAGATTATATAGTAAAACAGATATTATACAGCATAATGTGGTATTTGATAAACAGATAAATATTTGCACTGTGTAGGCTGTTTATAGTATAATTTTATCTATACAGAATGAAAGCAAAAAGTTAACTGTATAGAGGTGAGCAGAACAACATTAAATATTATGACTCCAAAGCAGAGACAAAGTTAGAGTTGAAAGAATAGAGCAAGATAAAATGTTTACAGGCCATTACAAGTCCTTAAATTAGTAGTAAAATAAGGAATCAGTTGCTCAAGTTTAAGAAAGCAGTAAACAAGAGATTTGCATTTACATGCAGATGTCTAAAACTTGTATTTCTTTTAAATCTATGCACAAAAAGTCATTTGTTTTTATTGCTTGACATTCAGTTATGGCTAGAATATTTTTAACCTTTTTTTTTTTTTTTGTACTTTGGAAACAAGAATATTGTTAAAGGTGCCATAAAAATGGACAACATTGAAAACAGTTTGCAAATAAACCACCTAACACTGCAGTTCTTTATACATTTTAAAAAGCCTTGTCTGGGGTTTGTCATATGTTAAATATATTTAATCTGGGAAAATACATTGTAGCTTGAAGCCTCCCATTGGCCCAAACATCCAATACAAAAACACATCTCCAGAAAAGGAGCAGGCAGACAATACAGTTACATATAAAGAAGCAGCCAGTTAATGTCCTAATACTTCAAATAGTGACCACTGTTCTGTACCTTGTTTCTAAATCAATGTAGAAATGAGGAACATTTTGGATTTAAAAAGGTGTACAGTACGTATGCCTTTTTGTGAAATAAAATTCACTGTATTGCTTATGAATTCTCTGCATTAGATATAGATAGCATTACAGATTGCAAGTTCCTGTAAAGTTTGTGCATCTACATCAAGACTTTGTGGGGTAATTCAGGGTAGTGTTTCTCAAACCGAAAGACACAAGGGGTTGTTTGGATGATGCCCAAGTGTTTAGATCACGATCCAAACACCCGGCCGGGCACACCCAGCTCGGTTCCTTGTCCAGTGCACGCTCTCCAGCGCGGAACATGTGCTCGTGCTGGCTACAGGAGCGCGCTGGGCAGGGAACTCGGGAGCTGTAGCTCAGCCCCACGGCCTGGAGGAGCTGCAAGAGCCGGCTGCGGACTGCACTTTGCATTTGCAGCAGCCGGAGAGTTCCTAAGTACCTGCAGCAGCTTGGTTCCGTCAGCTGGGAAATGCTGCCAGTCATTCCAGCTGATTCACACTCCCTGCCCCAGGAAACCTAAGTCTATTCCAACACAGAGAGCCCTGCGCAGAAATATAGCTCATAGAGATTGTGCTTTCAGAAATCTTGAGAAACACTAACATAGGAACACAAGTATACATAGGACATGTGAACACTGAAAACATGCAGATGTTAACAAAGTGTGATGTCACACATCAAGTTGAACAACTTGATTGTGGAGTTCAGCTCAAAGAAGTAATAAGGTTATGAGGGAAGACATACAAGT